ACAGATTTGTTTTTTTTGGAAAATTTTTAAAATTCCCTCCAAAGAACTTCTAAATTTAGCTCAATAAATACAGCAACAACACCATCTTCCCTGCATTAAACCTTCTCACTCTTCCTCCATAATGAGTTAGCATTAAGTTCACTTTCTTCCCTTTGCATTTATGGCTGCCTCCTCCTTTTCCACACACACAATCTGATTTTGAAGATGCTGTCTTGCCACCACTGGTTGAGGTACCCTTTGCAGCAGCTTTTAACAGTCCTGAAACAGAAAACCGAAACTGCATTTCTGGTGTACACGCAAGGAATGAAAGAAGGAAGAAAGTTATCGATGCGATACTACAAAAATACAAGGACGGCAAACTTCAGCACGGTTGTATTAAGTCAGTAGCTAATGACTTCAAGATTTCAGACCGTTCGGTTAGAGACCTATGGAGAATTGCTAAAGCTCAACTGGACACAGGCCTTGCTATTGATGTTGCCTGTAGGTGGCAAGGAAATACAGGGAAAAAATCTCTGACTAAGGACTTTTCCAAGCTTAGCCAGATTCCTTTTCACCAACGCCAGACCCTACGTGCAGTAAGTCATTGCTTGAATGTGTCTACTACAACAGCACACAGGTGGCTGAAGGAGAAAAAGATAAAAAGACATTCTAATGCCATAAAGCCATTTCTGTGTGAAAAAAGGTAAGTTGAAAAGACTCAAGTATTGTTTGTCTTTTATATCTCCCACATCACTCTCAAACCCCACATTTCATGACTGTTATGATTACATTCACATCGATGAAAAGTGGTTTAATTTGAGCAAGCCCAAAGCAACATTCTACACACTGCCAGGTGAAGATGACCCATACAGAACCACCCAGTCTAAAACACACATTCCCAAAATAATGTTTCTAGCAGCTGTGGGTAGGCCAAGGTTTGGGGTGGATGGTGAAGTGATATGGGATGGAAAAATTGGCATTTTTCCATTCACTTTTGAAGAGGCTGCTAAAAGGGCTAGCAAAAACAGGCCAGCTGGTACCATGGAAATCAAAGCAGTACCAAAAATAACAAGGGATGCAATGAGATCCATGATGATTCAGCAGTTGCTGCCAGAAGTGGCCAGGGACAAGCAAGCAAGTTATCATACAACAGGATAATGCTAAACCACATATAGATATTAATGATTCTGAATTTGTGAGTGCTTCAAAGGAAGGTGATTGGGACATTCAACTACAGTTTCAGCCCCCAAACAGTCCAGACTTGAATGTCCTTGACCTTGGTTTCTTTAGGTCAATAGATGCTTTGTCAGACAAGACTGCACCAAGGTCAATGAGGGAGTTGATCACCAATGTGACCATGTCTTATGACCAACTCACAGCCCAGACCTTAAATAATGTTTTCCTTACCTATCAGGAGGTAATGGGTGAGGTCCTTAAGCAGAAAGGGGGAAATGACTATAAAATACCACATATGGGCAAAGAAAGGTTGGCCAGGGAAGGAATGCTGCCTCAGAACATACATGTGGATGCTCAAGTCTATAAAGATGTTGTCCAGTTCTTAGAAAGCAACACTTAAGGGCCAAAGGACAGTACTTTTGTGTAACTCTTTTTTTGGTTTGTACTTGTACACACAACAGCACACTTTTTTTGCTTTTTGGTAGTGTTTAGTCATAGTGTGCAGGCTTGTGTAATGATGTGGTACCAGATCCTCAATGTAAAATATTAAGCAGGGACTGAATATCAATCATAGGCAGATAAAATGCCTCAAAACTCAAATTTGTTCTACAATCATAGGCATACAAAGGGGCAGGCATGTCTAGGGACTCAAACCATGGTTGGGCTGCCTTAGAAATTCATTTAGAAGTTCAATCATAGGTATATAAAGGGGCAGGCATGTATAGGGACTCAAACCATGGTTGGGCTGCCTCAGAAATTCATTTAGAAGTTCAATCATAGGCATATAAAGGGGTAGGCATGTATAGGGACTCATACCATGGTTGGGCTGCCTCAGAAATTTATTTAGAAGTTCAATCATAAGCATTCAGGCACTCAACATCATAGGGGTGGCAAAGACATATTCCAAATTGATCACAGTAAGCGTCCAAGCCTATAGGGGTGGCATTACAGTGAAGCAATTCTCCCATAAGTCAGAAAGACTAAGGTTTGCATCATTAGTTTGCCCAAAAAAATATGCAATGAAGTCAAGAAGCAATAAATTTTACTTTAAGAAGACAACACTGCATAAACAACAGAGGCTTTAACCCTTCGTAATTTTTCTCCAAAATCAGAACATGAAGGGTTTACAGAAATAGAGGCAATACAATATTCATAAAGAACAGAGGATTGAAGCACTTTACTCTGTTCAAATCGCATGAGCTTCATTGGACTTCCAACGGGTTTGGCAAAGAAAATTTCCGTATCAGAGGTCATTCCTCCAATCTCTTCTGTGGTGAATGAATCAACCTCTGAATCCCCTGATTCCCCTTCTTCCAGATCTGAATTCCACTCAACGCCGTCCGGAAGATGGTCACCCCAAGGTATTTCTTCCGGTAGTTCCAGGACGGATCGGTGTCAGAAGAATCAGATGCATCAGGGTTGTAGCCTGGAAAACATACCCTCTTGCGCTTAGGAGGTCGAACATCTTCATCGCTTTCACTTAGAAGGCGAAAGGAAGGCATATCCCAGTCCAGATCTGGAGAAGGAGGGGATGAGGCCATGGAAAATTTGATCGGCGTAGGTGAGGATGTGGTTTAAGGAAGAGAGAGACGATGTGTGTCAGTAAAGGGCTGGGTATGGGTGGGATGGGTAGTCTTTTAGGGCTGGGGGTATTTTGGGAAAAAAGTGTGGAATGGAAGTATTTTGTGGAAAACAAAAAAACCGAAAGAGGAAATGTTTAATGAAACGGAGGGAGTACTTTTTATCTTATTCAATTTTTCATTTCTTATTGTATTTCAATATTCAATTTTTCAATATTCAATTTTTTTTATTGTATTTCATTTCCTATTCGTTATTTACATGTCCCAAGTTTTTATTTTAATTTGAAAAAACATAAGAAATTACTTTTTTTATATCTTTTATTTATGAAAACATTATTAACAATTGAAAAGAAATTTTTGAAAAATCCTTATAAAAATAAGGAAATAAAAAATGAAAATAGAAAAAAATGAAAAAAATTACTCCCTCCGTCCCAATTTATAATGCATGTTTACTATTCACAGGGTCAAACTTCATTCACTTTCTTTTTCTATTTTCGTTAACACATTGATAAAATGAAATACTATTGTCACTACTAGTTTTGTAGATCTTTTGATGTAGTATTTTAACATGTAATTTTTATTTTTAATTCTATACCATTTGTCATATAAAATGATTTGAAAATAATTTCAGTCAAACATCGTAAATCGAAACAGGCACTATAACTTCATCTTATTGCTCCTTTTATTCAAATTTGTATATGTTCAACAATGGAAGCAGGCAAGTAGCACATTGGTCAGCAAGTGATTTTGATTCTTGGCCTTAATATAATGAAATAAATTCACTATCCATCCCATTTTTGATTCACTACTATTACTGTTTTTTGAACCTCCCCTCACCCCTTCATCTTTTTTTTTAAAAATTTTTTTTTTATTAGAAATAGAACAAACACAATCTAAGGAACCATATAGAACACAAACGGGAAACCATATAAAAAGAAAAAAAATCTTAAAAAAATATGATAAAGAAAAAAAATCGGATGATGGATAACCACACTTGGAGAGTCAAGGAGATTTGATAATAAAATCTAGAAATGACTCCCCCACCTGGAGAATCAAGAAATCGGAGATGGATAGCCGGATTTGCTGTGTCCACTGCGTCCATTTAGGGTATTGGGTTTTAGCCGGCAATTGCAGGGTTTTCCACTCCTTCAGATGATTTTCTTCTTCAATTTTTTTTTATAGATAATTGACTCTTGGTCTTCTTTGAAGTTTTTTTAATTAAGTGGGCTTTCAAAATTTAAGAGAAAAACAGTTGGGGCATATATGTCTTTTTCATATTCTTTGCCGGACACTGGACGGAAAATAATTTGGGGGGACGAGTGTGCGTCCTTTAGAAACCATAGAGATTTTAGGAGTAAGTATTAAAAACAGGAGGAGTTTCTGTGCCTATTTTTCAAACCACGGGGGGTTTAGAGCTATTAGGCCATAAGTGTAATGATAATGTGATAAACGAGATACTCCGTATCAATTTGATGGAGCAATGTAATCGGTCAATCATCTGCCAACCACTCAATCAATGCTAGTGACCGGTGACGACTGAGGATAGTGTTCAATGACAGTATCAATATACCGGTGATAAAATAACAATAATACTATAATTTTCTGTTTTAGTCTAAAAAGACTTGTGACTAGTACCTTATTTTGGTTCGGAGTACTTCACATTTTCTATCTTTTTGAGTGACTTCTCCATAATTTTGTTCTAAAAATAAAATTGCGTGTTCCGGGCGTGATGAAAATGTGAGAGGAGTAAATGATTCAACCAACAACGATAGTTAGGATCAGTGTTAAGTTAAGTGTGTACAAGGTGTTCTCATCATCTTTTTATTTTTTGAGAGATTGATCCCACCTTCCAAATTCCAACTCCTACTTCTCCACCATTCTTGTTCTTGAAGATGCAGAGGATAAGTTGAAATGGAAAACTAAACCGTCTAAACACACATTCTTCACATCATTGAACTTTCGGTTTAATCTTCCTGTAATTTCTGAGGTGCAAATCGCCGGCGTAAAATTGTTTTCCAAATAAAAATAAAAAACATGCCGCCGAAGCCCTCCCCTGCAGCCGCCGCCGCCAAACACCACAAACCTTACTTCTTTTACGGTCATCGGAAGCCCACCCAGAACCGGCCCACCGTCCGCGGCGGCCTCTTCTCAAACCGCTTAACCATTAATCCCGCCGCAAAGACTCAGCCGGCTCCATATGATGATTCACTCGACTTTGACCTCCATAATTGGGACCCGGATTCGAATTCCCGACCCGCCAGAGACCCATCTCGAGAATTCTTCTCCGAGGCAAAACATCTCTCCCCCATTGCTAGGTATATCGTTGACTCCTTCAGAAAGCACGGCCGGTGGGATACGCAGGTCGTCGGAGACCTCAATCGGCTCCGGCGGGTCACTCCCAAACTCGTCGCCGAGGTTCTGAAGATCCAGAATATCGACCCGAAGCTTTCCACCAAGTTCTTCTACTGGGCTGGTATCCAAAGAATTTAAAAAAAAATCTCTTTTTTTTCATTAACTTTGATTCGCAGCAGCAGATGTTCATCTGTTCTTGTTGATGTTCTTTGGCAGGAAAGCAAAAGGGTTACAGGCACGATTTTGCTTGTTACAATGCGCTTGCCTATTCTTTGAATAGAACCAATCAATTTCGCGCTGCAGATCAGGTACCTGAGTTAATGCAAATGCAGGGGAAACCACCTACTGAGAAACAATTTGAAATTTTAATTAGAATGCACTGCGATGCGAATCGGGGTCTTCGAGTTTACCATGTGTATGAGAAAATGATGAAATTCAACATCAAACCGAGAGTGTTTCTCTATAATAGGATAATGGATGCCTTGGTCAAAACAAACCATTTGGATTTAGCGTTGTCTGTTTATGATGATTTCAAAAAGAGTGGATTACTGGAGGAGAGTGTTACATTTATGGTACTGATAAAGGGTTTATGCAAGTCCGGGCGAGTTGATGATGCAATTGAGCTTTTGGGTCGAATGAGGAAGAATCTGTGCAAACCAGATGTGTTTGCTTATACTGCAATGGTGAAAGTGCTTGTTTCAGAGGGGAATCTTGATGGGTGTTCTAGGGTATGGGAAGAAATGGTGAAGGACAGGGTTGAACCCGATGTCATGGCTTATGGAACATTCATCACAGCGCTATGCAAAGGAAATCGATTGGAGAAAGGGTATGAGTTGTTTGAGGAGATGAAGGAGAAGAGACATTTGATTGATAGGGACATATACAGATCTCTGATTGAAGCACTTGTCATTAATGGGAAGGTCGGTTCCGCATGTGACTTGCTCAAGGATTTGATTACTTCTGGTTATAGGGCTGATTTAGCTATATATAACTGTCTCATTGAAGGTCTATGCAAGCATCAAAGAGTCGATAGGGCTTATAAACTCTTCAAAGTCACAGTTCAAGAAGATCTCCAACCTGACTTCATCACAGTGAACCCCATACTGCTGTCTTATGCAGAAACAAAAAGAATGGAGGACTTCACAGGCTTGCTTGATCAATTGCAGAAACTGGGTATCTGCGTTAGAGATGATATATCCAAATTCTTTTCTGCAATGGTGAAAATTCCCAACAAGATAATGCGAGCTTGGGAAACCTTCAATGAGTTGAAACTCAAGTATCACTGCGGTGTTCAATGCTATA